TCCAGGTACTGACCAGGCTCACACCTGCTTAGCTTCAGTGGGTTGCCAGTTGTGAGTTGCAGGGTGACATGGCTGCTGGCTGAATTTTGAATTCATTTTTGAATGGGTTGAATTCAGAACAGAAGCGGAAGAGAGCAGGGACTGCATCCCGCTCAGCTGGTGTGGTTTTGCCCAGGAATCTCCTGCTCCTCGATCACAGGCGTCTCCGAAAGCGAAATGGGGCACAGTATCCAAACAGCTGTGCGGAGATGCTGGAGACGGCCAGCCCTGGTGGACAGTGCGTTTCGTGTTCCTCTGGCGCCACCTGCTGTATGAGAGGAGCAGTGCAGGCTGTGTGCAGTAGACGGGGTATGCAGAGAAAGACCAGGCCCCTTTTCTCTTCTTCCCCTTCATTGTGGGAGTCCCATTTTAGCTCACTGTGCCAAAACGCTGTCAAACTCCCTTTACTGCCATTGCCCAATATTGGATAGTGGGAAAGGTTTGTAAATCTGCAGCGAATTTATCCCATGGTATTCGTCAGCACTGTGAGCACCATGCCAAGCTGCTTGATACAGAGATCGCAATGCCGCCACGGTAATAGGATACCAGAGGAATTACAGACAGAGCAGAATTACAACCCGGTTTAGTAAGACAAAGCCAGCTAGTTACTGGGGCAGATTTCAGAGCATAAGGCTACAAACAAGAGGCCAGTTATCCCATCTGGTGTATTTGGTGGTTAATAGCCAACTGATCCGAGGATCTTATGTTTTTTTGAAAGGAGACAAGAGTATCAGTTTCAACCACATGGCTGGGCAGCTTGTTCCACACCCCCACCACCCTTTGTGCCTCCTGTTCTAAAAACAAAACAAACAAAGTCTGCAGGCATTTTAGTTTTGGGATCCACTGTAGCACAAAGCATCTACATTGCAATAAAGGCAGATAAGAACTCCTCACTGACGGGCGAGTATGTTGTGTGATCTGGGATATCAGAAATGGGCTGAAAAATGAGACTGCATTAGGAATAATTCAGTGTTCGGGGACTACCAGACGGGGCACTGCCGTCCGTAGCTTGTTCCATACCCCCACCACCCTTTGCGTACAGGAGGCACTTCTTTGGTGGTGGTGGAGGGGAGTCCCCATTACCTGTAAAGCGCTTTGAGTGGAGTGTCC